GATAATTCTGAATTTTTATTGAGACTAACTAATCTTGATTCAATCTCCAGTTTGTCCTTATCTAATTTTAATTTTTTTCTTTGTTTTTCGACGTTTAAATATTACTTGTTTGAAATTTCGAAGTAATTCACATTCTTGTTTATAGATTGTTGAAGAAGTATCATTGAAATTCTTTACCCAAAGATAAATCTCATATTTCAACTTTAAAGTACGAAATTTTTTCTTAATTTTCATTAAAGATTCTTTTTTATTCATATTCAACAACCATTCATTCTTTGGAAGAGATTTATCAACAGATTGAAGAAGCTTAAAATATTCACAACGCTGTTGAAAAGGACATGAAGCTTGTTGATGGCATGTGTCATAATACCAAAGATGAGGATAAAATTTTCGTTGATATGCTTCCTTTTGAAAATTAGTTTTATCTGTTCCACATTTACAAACAAAAAATCGTTAAAAGGTATATGTTCAGAATGTTGCAACATATCAAATTTTTCTTTTGCATTATGTTGGTTATATTTAACAACATAAGATTGTGAAAAATCAATATTTCTCCATGAAATACTATTACAAGTTACAAATGATTCGTGAAATATCTTCCAACATAATGGAGAATATTTCGAGAAATTAGTTCATATATCTCTCGTAATAAACATTTTGAAATAATAATTAAAATTAAAAAATAATTAAAATAATTATCTCTGAATACAGTTCGAAGAACTTTTGTATTCGTTATCAAATCCTAAGATTCGATGCTGTTTTATGAACTGAAAAGCAGTCTTTTTATAGATGAAAATCAAATAACATCACGAAAAAACTAAGTTGTTTTCCATGAGATGAATTATTTTCACTTGTCAAATTCAAATTAAAATGAAAAAATTAAATTATACCAAATTCGTAATTTACAAATTTGGATGTAAATTACAAATTTGCCAGATTTGTATTTTACAAATCAAGCAGTTCATTGTCACAATAAGACTTCAATCTATACCAAATTCATAATTTACGAATTTGGGTGTGAATTACAAATTTGCCAGATTCGTATTTTACGAATCAGGCAGTTCATTGTTAAAATGAGATTCTGGTCTAATCCAAATTCGTATTTTACGAATTTGAAACTAAATTACAAAATCAAATTTATAAGAAAAAATAAATTTGTATTTTACGAATTTGGAAATGATTTACTATTAAATAATTTATACTTTAAAATAATATATAAATATATTCAATATTCTATTACAAAATTTATGTAAAAATGAAACGAAAAGCCAAAGAACAGATCAAATCTTTAGTAGACAAAAAACAAAAAGTTAAACATCTCCCAGTTCTAATAGAACTTCTTGATATGATAATTGAATTTTACACAATACTTATTTTTAATAAAATAATTAATTCACACAGATGTAATATAACATCCAAAAATCCTCCAAAACAAAGATGTAACAAAACATGCCTTGTGCAAAAATATTTTAAAATACGATTTGAAAAAAATTTTCTTTATTT